GAATGTGAAGCTTCTCCCAGAGCGGGGGAAAGTCAATCACCGCCTGACAACGCTCTTCGTCAGGCGAACTCCCGTCCCGCCCAATGTTGTGTCCTAGGAGCTTACCTTTGGAGACACAAACTTCGGCCTTACTGATCCCAAACGAGAACCCAAACAAGATTGACTTATCTAGGAAACCCTCTAAGGAAACGAGGTGGTCGAGGAGGTGCGGGCACGCCTTAGGGTGCCGGGCGCGCATATCTGCCGCGAGCTGCTCATAATAATAGTCCGTTGGAGGCTCCTCGATCATCTTATCGATGTCCCAGCTCTCCACGATATGATAGCTCGGGCAGCGCGCCGTGTCGACCGCGTCTGCTGGGCGCACAGCGTCACTTGCGCCTCTTCCAGCCGTGGCCGATCCCTCACGCCAGCCAGCCCAGCGTGGCCCCTTGCGCGTCCTAAAGACCGCGAGGCGTTCGGTGACGGGAACCTCATCGCTGCACGCTACGCTTTCCGCCACACGCAAATCCCTCGTGTCCCAAAGACGCCACGCCTCACCCGCGCGCTGAAGCAAGCACGTTTCGTAAGGCGCCTTCTCGACCGCCACGGTCCCAAGGTCCTTCTGCGCAGGGCGCCTACCCCACGAAGACGCGTAACCACCTGGCGCCTCCCACCAGCTGTCGACGCTTGGAAGGTGGTCCAAGCAAGTAAGCACTCCAGGCTCCTCAACAGGGCGCCCAACCGGGCCGCTCCCGCCCCACACCGAAGCGAGAACAGTCACCGCAGCAAGGACCGATAGCACACCGATCCTGGCGCCGGTACGCAGCCGCCCAAAGGACCGCGCACACGAGGAACAACCTTGGAAGCTTCTTGCCGCGGCCCTGGACGCGGACCCGCAAGCAAAGCACGGGTCATGGTCAACCGTAGCAACGGCGACCCCACAATCCGCACATGCCTGCGGAGACGGCTCTGACTCGAACACCGTCTCAATCGCGCCACAACCACGGGCCGCAGTGCTGACGAGGCCGGAACGCACTTCCGCAACAACCTCGCCCGGCTGGAGAGAGTGATCACACTCTTGGGCTGCAAGCAAAACAAACCCTTTACCCTCTCCTGTGGGCCAGAGACCTGGCACAGCCTCAACCCCACACTCAACCGGAAGCACAACCTCGGACAGGGATCCCTCTGCGGAGACTCCTGCCTCCCGCACGACTGGCACCAGCACCCCATCACCTGGCGAGAGCTCGTCATAGCGGAGAAGCTCACGACTTCCGCCCCCAGGCTCGGTGCATGACGCGTCGTCCAGGCTTGACAACCGCGCTTCAAAGCCCTGTCCTTCCGAGTCCTACTGTGATCCTCACATCTGGGCATCCTGATTCCCAGCGTGTCGAGGACGTGAAAGTCGGGACCCGGCCTGAATCCCAAGCCCATCCTTCCGGCGCAGTCCAGCGCTCTGCCGCCGAGGATAAGCCCGTGCCAATCGGACGTACCCCTGGCTGCGATTTTACATCGCACGAAAATTTCGGTGTTGGGGCGACAGTCGTCCGCCGTCCTGCCTTCCAGCAGCGTGACGCGCAAGACTGCTGCCCCCTTCAGAGGAACGGGGGCTCCCGAAGCAATTCCATGCACGTATTCGGGGTGGACCCACTTTTCAAGTCTCACGACCGGGAAGCCGGGATCCTCAGTGCCGATCCCCAGCTCTGCAGCCCGGTTCATCATGCCCACCACGAGTTCCTCGGTCACGTGGTTTGCGCCGGCGCAACCGTCGAGCATACACTCGACCTTACGGTCGAGGACCTGGACCACCGTCCTGTACTGGTAGCCTCCTGGCTCGTTGTCCGCCAGGTTCCACCAGTCCTTCGGCAGATCGTCCAGGGTGGCGAACTTGTCCCGCCCGCCCTTGCTTAACGGAAGCGCGTGCTGCTGCACCGCGGCGTGTCCTGCGGCTCCTAAGACGCCTGCCTGGACGCCTGAGCTGCCTATCTGGACACTGAACGCGGCGAAGGGGTTAGACATGGAAGCACCGGAGGGCGGGGCCCAGTTGGCAGGCAAGGCCGGCGTCCCTCCTGAGGTCGTCAGGTTGTGGACCATGTCGCAGCTGGCTCCTTTCTTGCACGACCCATTCTTGGAGAAAAAGGGGCAAACAGTGCCTGGTGGCTTTGCCGCGCCTTTGGCCGCAGCCTTAGGCTTTGCGTTGGCTTTTGCCTTGCCACCTCCCTTCCCCTTGCCCTTACCTTTCGCAGTGGCAAAGGTTTGGTCACCCTTCTTGGCCGCGAGAGCTTTTCTGCGAAGCTCCTTGTCGTGGCTGTACGGGCAGGCATCCCCTTTCGGGCAATTCCCATGATCGCGAAAGTGGAAGCAGATCTTCTTGTCCGCTCCTTTGCCAGCTCCCTTCGACGCAGCGGCAAACGTCTGGTCCGCGCCAGCTTTGGCCGCGGCAGCTGCTCCTTTCGCAGCAGCCTTCGCAGCGGCCTTGAGACTCTTAATCTCCTTCTGAGCCTCGGCTAGCGCGACCGCCGGGTCCGCGCTCTGCGAACCGGTCGCTGTGTACACAGAGTGGGAAACAGCCCTGTGAGCTGCTTCCCTCTGCTCGTACTCCAGAACGACCTTGTGGCTCTCCTCCCAAGTCTGCGGTCCTCGCAACCCGCCATCCTTGGGATCGCCAGGCCACAACCGTTTGTCGTTCCGGATCTCCTTTTGGAGATACGGGGGCATCTTGCGGAGGTACGAGAGATACAACTCTCGTGGGGTCTTCCCAAGACCTACCGCCTCAAGGTCCGCAATCGAGGCCTCAAACAAAGGCTCGAATTGGTGGCCTGTGAGCTTACCCTTAGCGAGAGAGGCATGCTCACCATCCACGCGGACTTCTCTTTCCTCCCGCGATTCCCCGAACATCAAGTGCTTGTTCTTGATGCGGTCGTACACCGCCTGTGGATCGGAGAGAACCTCTCCCGACTTCCACGCTGCGCGGTACGCGTTCGTGTACGTCTTCACGCGCGAGCCGCGGCAGCGCCCGCGTAGCGCTAACAGCTTCTCGCGCGCACTCATACCGCGACAGTTGTTGGCCAGCGCGCAGACGTCCTCGAACTCCTCGTAGAACAGGACAACGTCTCGCGCGTCCGACTTGTCGTCGGTCAGCGTCGGCCACGTGAGGTCAGTTTTGACCGTAGTTATGGAGCTTTGCCCGCCCCTCTGCGCTAACGCTTCTTTCAGCGCTTCAGTTTGGGCGGCGAGTGCGGCGGCGAAATCGCCCGCCGGGTGTTGGGACCCGGTCTGCGAACCTCCGCCGTCTGAACCTCGCTTCAGGGCTTCTATCTCCATCTCCAGCGCAGCAAGCTTCGCGCGCAAAGGGGAATCGCCGTCCGTCGCGCCCAGGACACGGGCCGCGGAAGGACCACCTGCAACCTCGGCAGTGTGCAAACCTCCACGGTCCAATCCTACCCCCAACCCACTTGCAGTCGCAGGCTGTGGGAGCCCTGGGGAACGCGGCCCCACGGCTTCAACTGGCACATCGGACGGGGAGCTCCAAACCTTCTCTTGGCTCGAGCTTTCTTTTCCCCCCAACGCGAGGATAAGCTCCCCGATGCATTGGATTTCGCGCTGAATCTCCTCTGCGTCTTCGGGGTCCTCGCCACCGCGCAAAGCCGCGACCGAGAACCTGGTCCGCAGCCGACGGACCATCTTCGTCGGATGCCAGTCCCCGCCTATCTTGGAGAACTCATCCGCAAGGAGGGTGGCTTTGGTGCTTAAGGCGTCAAGGTCACGGGAGCTCACCGTGACTCCATGCGCTTTCAGCGCGAGGACAATCCGCGAAACGCGCGTCAAGTAGTCCGCGACCGGTTCTTGGTCTGGACGGAAAATCGCGCGCAGCTCCGCCTGCAAGCCCTCTGCGGTGCCTGGCACTGAACCTGCTGTCGACGGCGGACCGGACGGTCCCGCCGGGCGGGACCCTGGTGCCGTAGCAGGGACATAGGCAGCACCGGTAGGGACCATGGCCAGCTCCCTAGCCGCGGCGCTGACGTCCACCCGCGGCGGACTGTCGCCTCCAGCGCCCGAGGCCTCAGGGACTAGCTCGGAGTCCTCTTCTTCTTCCTCTTCATCCTCGTCCTCGTCTTCGGCGTCATGGAGGAACTTCATGACTTTCCGCCAGAGAGCCGCCTCTTGCTCTGGCGTAGTGCTGACCCCATCCCGCTTGGACAACGGACGGCTGCCAGTCTCCCTACGCCACTTAAGCCAAGCGACGTAGCTCATCCGCTCGGGATAGGGAACGTCTCCACCCTCGATAGCTTCGAGGAGGGTGACGCCCTCAGCCTGACCTGCAACCTCTGCGGACATTGCCGCAACACAAGGCGAAAAGCCGCGCCTTGGTTAGCAGGCCGCAGGCGTGGCACGCGAAGCGCCGCGCCTTGGTTAACAGGCCGCAAGCGTGGCACACAGTCCACGCGTCCAGGTCACGGACCGCGACAGACAAGCAAAGCAATGCTTGCCCACTCGGGCCGTAGGCACAAGAGCTGTACGTTTCCCAGAACAGCCCCCAATTGTGAAGTCGACCAGCACTGGACTTGCACTAAGCCAATGCAATCACAGCCCGGTCACGCTGTTTTACGACTTCGCGAGTCCAAGCACTTGTGCAGCTACGCCTGAGTGCGTCCGGTCGGACCGCACAGCAACCTAGGAGCTACTGTACGACTCTACCGTGCTCAAAGGCACAAGCTCGGTACTTGAGCCAAAACATTGGCATTGTTACGAATTGCAAAACTACACATGCAAGGGAAAACAACAAGCTGCACTAGCACTAAGCAAGCACTCCATGCATGCTTTGACCTGCTCACAAAGATAGTAAGATAGCAATACAGTAATATAGTAATATAGTAATATAGTAATATAGTAATATAGTAATATAGTAATATAGTAATATAGTAATATAGTAATATAGCAATATAGTACTATAGTAAAATAGGACTATAGTCATATAGTACGAATGGTAAGAATCAATGATGTTTAAGCAACGGCCGAGCTGCCAGGTCGATCTTGCGGCCCTGAAGGAGTGTGGAGGCATTCGGCTCCCGCTTCACCAGGGGCTTGAAGACCATGCTGCTCTGCACCCCGGCACCTGCTAGAAGAAACAAGTAGGGTTTTAGGGTTTAGGGTTTAGGGCTTAGGGTTTAGGGTTTAGGGTTTAGGTTATGGTTAAGGAAACACCCATGCTTAAGGCTCCCTACGACTCCCTAAGGCTCCCTAAGCTTCCGTAAGGTTCCTTAGGTACCTTACCCCCCCCCCCCCCCCATGAACCCCACTTAAGAAGCCTATGAGATGGGAAGGGACGAAGCATCGCCTGCCTGCCAGATGCTCATGCGTTCCCTTGGTGGCATAGAGGACGTAGCCTCGGTTCAGCACGGCCTAAACCCTAAACGCACTTGCTGCCGAAAACAGCTCGACCTCACACGACGAAGACAATACTGGGAATTTGGGATGTTCACCCTTAGACTTAAAATAGGGGTAAGGGTTTTGTTCCTTTTTGCCGGACAAAGTAATCAGCAACTCGGATAAGGCCCGATAAATACCTGCTACAAGCCCAAAATTAGAGGAATATCCCTTTTTGCCACTGGACTGAAGGCAAGCCAGACTCCCATGCACCACCCACGGCTATGAAGCAACTGCCAATATCTCTAAACCCTAAACCCTATAAACCCTAAACCCTAAACCCGAAGCCCTAAACAGATTCCGCCGCGAAGCCCATGTCCAGCAACTGCCGCGCCGCCCCCGAGCTCACGAACTCGCGTTTCGCCCCAGGAGGGCCCAAGGACACCAGAATGGCCCTGGCAGGAATATGGGACTGAAAAGAGGGGACCCCCAGATATAGATCCCAATTGTAGGATCCCCTTATAATAAGGACCCCAATACGGTACCCGGCAATATCTAAGCTACCATATATGATGACCCTAAGACTCCAAATAGCCCGAAGCAGGCAGTACTTACAAGCTTTGGACCCCAATGTCGGTATTGTTTGTGTACTTGGAGCCCTTGGGCTGTAAGCTATAGTCAGTATAGTTAATCTGCTAACAACACACAGTCTAAGGTGCATTTATGTGGCATTTTTGCTGTGAAGGGGTTTGCGTTGAAATGGAGAACGTGGAGAAAACTAGGGAAAGAATGAGAACAATAGAGAAACATCGTTTCCGCTAGTTCCAAACACTAACAAAACACTAATCCGTTCGCAAAGGAACTCCCAAAAAATCCTTGAAGTCCCAGCAACTACAATGAACCTCTTCGTGCTTCAGAATTTTCGAAAGAAAGACTAGAGGATACGAATACCCTTATAAGGAAGCTTGTTGTTTACTTTCCTTTGGGGGGGGGGGGAACAAAGTTACCAACTTACAAGAGGGACCTAAGGGAGGCCCCCATCTCGTTTCAATCGGCGCCAACAATGTGGCACGTTGGCGATGGGGCAGCTTTGTACTTGAGAGAGCAACATGCCGCGACCCTATAAATCCTGTTTCCCAACAACCTAAACCCTGTGGCACTGAACCCTATTTCCCTAAACCCCTTTGCCTTTTTCCCTAAACCCCCCTTGCCTTTTGCCCTTCAAGAGACTAAAGGAGGTACACGCTTATCATGGACCTAAAAGGTGATTTGGGGGTTATTTGGGGGCTACTTAGGTATATAGGGGCTATGTTAGGCATAAGGGGAAGAAGATTGAGGGTCCCTTCTAGGGGTCCCTCCTTTCACCCCTAAAGCCCCCCGATGAACCCTCAACCCTCCGTAGGAGGCCTGTTGCCCTAAACCCGATAAACCCGATAAACCCGATAAACCCGATAAACCCTATAAACCCTATAAGCCCTCTAAACCCTCTAAACCCTAACAACCCTGAACCCAAAACCCTACCTAGGAGGCCAAGGGGCTGCGAAGGCAGCTTGAAGTTCGCGGCCACCATGCTCTTCAGGAATGCCTCGTGGGCGTTGACGCCGAAGCCTCGGCTGCTAATGAGCAGGGCTTCTTAGGGTTTTTCAAGGTTTAGGGGTTAGGGTTTAGGGTTTAGGGTTTAGGGTTTAGGGTTTAGGGTTTAGGGCTAGGGTTTAGGGCTCAGGGCTTTCTAGGTTGTTGTTTTTTTTTGTGTTTTTGTACGGGTTAGGGTTTAGGGTTTAAAGCCCCGAAGTTACGTTAGAAGGTGCGACGGTCCCTGTCGCGATGACAAAGCCACAAAAACTGTTCCAACACATCTCAATGAGAAGTGGGCACCGCCCACCCCAAGACAGAATATACAGATGTGCCCTTTGAGGGGTATATCCTCCTATGGATATATATATATATATATACATACATATATATATATATAGTTAGACCCCTTTTAGGGATGGTATGTAGTACCTCTAAATCCTCCATTCCTAGAATTCCTCCATTCCACTTACAGACCTACCCTAAACCCTAAACCCTCAACCCTAAACCCTGAACCCTAAACCCTAAACCCCCTAAACCCTAAACCCTAAACCCTAAACCCTAAACCCTAAACCCTAAACCCTAAACCCATTTTTTACCTCGCCCAAGTCGCAGGCCACCTCGCCGGTGGAGGACATCTCCACACCCAGCCGCGGGTCGGAGTTCTTGAGCCGGCCGAAGGAGAACCTGGGTTTAGGGTTTAGGGTTTAGGGTTGAGGGTTGAGGGTTGAGGGTTGAGGGTTTACAGGGTACAGGGTATAGGGTTTAGGGTTTAGGGTTCAGGGTTTAGGGTTTAGGGTTGAGGGTTGAGGGTTTATAGCGTTTAGGGTTTAGGGTTGAGGGTTTAGGGTTGAGGGTTGAGGGTTTATAGCGTTTAGGGTTTAGGGTCTAGGGTTTATAGGGTCTATCAGAACCCGGGGTTGACCCCTGAAAACCCTCTGAGAGAGATTCCTCACTGTGATCTTCTTAAACCAAATCTAAACCCTAAACCCTTTTTCGAACCCAGACTCTGTAAGTCAGCTGGCACGATGACAATTGCATCGTTTACATGCTAGAAAGTAAGTGCATCCGAAACAGACGGTGAATTGCCGAAAGGGGCACACGCGTGCTCAGCACTGCGACGCTCACTGTCCAGAGCGACCCCACATGATAGATGGCTCTGAAGACACAGCCCTCAAACTGTCAAGAGGACAAGCATTGCAAGTTATTGACGTCCTAGCGCCCACCCCTTCCTTCGAAGCTTTCGGGCCTTTCTGCGCAGACAGTGCTTGCCGGCGTTCTTCTCGTCGCTGTTGTTTTATTCTCATGCGGGCAGCAACATGTTCTGAGCGAAGCTGCTGAGTGTCAAACTGGTGCGAGGCACGGACATCGGCAACAGCATCAGACTCCCTGGAAGCAGTAGCAGCCATGGGTCTGCTATCATGCATGCGCTGATCGACATCGCAACGGAGGGAAACGTTCGCAGTTGCAGGGGTGCCAAGGGCTCTCGCAGACTCTTGGAGCTGGTTGATCTGGTTGCGCAGGTTCAACTCCCGGTTTCTCCAGCTCTCTGCCACCTTCTCGAACTTGTCTTGCAAGCCATACATGAGAGTCTCACACATCTGTCTTCTGATCATCTCGGCCTCTGTCTGGACGGTGGCATCCTGCTTAGCTATGGTCTCTGGTTGTGACGACTGCCTTCTCAGTATCCACTGCGTCGGCCTCGTCGCAAAAGCCAATGGCTTCATGGAGTGAGATGATGCGGCGAGCACTTGGGGAGGCGGTTCGCGGTGCACGCAACTTCAAATGGCATAACGCCGCACCCAAGAGGCTGGTGGCTTCCGGGACACCCGGCTTCCGAGACATCCTCCATGCATAGCCCGTGCAGGAAATGAGCTTGTTGGGATCCATGCAAGGCAGCTAAGACTGTGCACTCAATTAGGGCTTGCCGTCAAGGCCTCGTAGCAGAATGGCTTGAGCCAAAATGACTAAACCCTAAACCCTAAACCCCTAACCCCTTACGGGCCTACCTAGGAGCCTAAGCAATCTCTGCTTGTTGGGAGTTTTCATTGACACGGGACAGGTGCAGTGCCCTGCAATGGGCCTTTCTTATAATGTAAGCTCTCTCCGACCAGGTGGCCCAGTAACCTAGGATACAAAGAGTGCAGTTTTTTGCTTCAAGGGGTTTGGAAGGGAACCTCCCCCCCCCCCTCCCAACAAAAAAAAGGAATAAGGGCACTACTGGGCATCCTACCTAAACCCAAAAAAACAAAACCCTAAACCCTAAACCCTAAACCCTAAACCCTAAACCCTAAACCCTAAACCCTAAACCCTAAACCCTAAACCCTAAACCCTAAACCCTAAACCCTAAACCGTACTGGCCGAAGGACATGGGAGCTTTGCAGGCCACGAACTCGATGTCCATTGGCTGGATGATCGCCGGGCGCACTGGCATTCCTACCATGATTCCTGCGCATGGTGCATGCGCCCTCCCAAGCTGCTCACTTAAGCCTTCGGCCTGGTAGGGTTTAGGGTTTAGGGTTTAGGGTTTAGGGTTTAGGGTTTAGGGTTTAGGGTTTCGGGTTTCGTTTTTAGGGTTTAGGGTTTCGTGGACTCAAGTTGCACCGGAGCGGCGGGTTGCCAGCTCGATGAAGTTCACGTTGTAGGTCTTTGAGATGAAAGGCATCGACCGGGAGGCCCTCAAGTTGCACTCCTTGGCCGTGCCGTGCAACTTTCCGACATTAGGGTATTGGGTTTAGGGTTTTTAGGGTTTAGAGGGTTTAGGGTTTAGGGTTTAGGGTTTAGGGTTTAGGGTTTAGGGTTTAGAGGGTTTAGGGTTCAGAGGGTTTAGGGTTCTCTTAGGGTGTAGGGTTTAGGGCTTAGGGTTTAGGATTTTAGCTACGCCACACGGGGTCTCCGAAATCAGGGGTACCTTATTGGGGTCCTTCTGAAAAGGGAATCCTACTGTTCGGGGGTCTAACTTAGCGGTCCCTGATGTTCGTAAACTCCCACTTGTACAACACGAGGCGTTTCGTGGCCAGCGCTTATTTGGGAAAGGCAATTGCCTATCATAACCCTAAACCCTAAACCCTAAACCCTAAACCCTAAACCCTAAACCCTAAACCCTAAACCAACTGACTTCTGGCATTTTCGTGGCAGAGCTGCGATGACCTTGACTTCGTTGTCCTTGCAGATGAACTGGATGTTGAAGGGCCCCGAAATCTTGAGGGCCTTGCACAACTTCTGTGAGATGCCTCAGGTGACATGTTACTACTCAACCCTAACCCCTAAACCCTAAACCCTAAACCCTAAACCCTAAACCCTAAACCCTAAACCCTAAACCCTAACCCCTAAACCCTAAACCCTGGGGTATCCCTTGTTGAATTTCAATGCGTGAGTTCATAAGGGAACCTCTCCCTTAGAGCTTCGGGTTGCGATCCAGGGTTTAGGGTTTAGGGTTTAGGGTTTAGGGTTTAGGGTTTAGGGTTTAGGGTTTAGGGTTTAGGGTTTAGGGTTTAGGGGTTTTTTCCGTACAACAGGGGCCTTAAGAATTAGAACCGGGTTTTGGAAGGTTATTGTAGTAGAACTATGAAAGGGGATCATAAAGGGAATACTGCCCGTAATTCTTCCGACCCCTATAGTAGGGTGCCAGAACTCAAAGGATCGGGGTCAACCCTAAACCCTAAACCCTAAGCCCTAAGCCCTGAACCCTAAACCCTAAACCCTAAACGCATTGTGAGGCTAAGCCGCTCTTCACTTTGCGGTGTGTCTCCACAAACAGCCGCTGTGCCGGAAGCAGCAAGGACGCGTCTCCGCTGTGCACCCCCGCGTTCCTCGGAGAACCAAAATAAACCCTAAGAGGTTTATGGTCCATATACCTTATATGGAGAAGAGTAAGTAGGGTATATGATCCCACCAAGGTTCTCGATGTGCTCCGCGATAGCGTAGTTGACGAGCCTTGCTGGCACGTGCAGCGACATCAACAACCGTCCCTAGCCCTAGCCCCCCTAAACCCTAAACCCTAAACCGTAAACTGTAAACCGTAAACCGTAAACCCTAAACCCTAAACCCTTGCACCCGCAACTTCCCCACAGAACCTCGCCGAGCCACTCGCCGGCCTTGCCCACCGCATCTAGCTCCACCTCCTTGGCGCCGGTGATGTACTTGGAGATCACCACCTTACTTGGGGAGGTTCATGGCACTTATTAACCAATAAAAACTTGCGCTACAAGTAAAAACTGGTTATTAACCAAAAAAAGGTTAATAAGGGTTACCTGCTCTACCACTAAGCCACAGGGTGGTCGCGGCTGACCACGGCAGCTGTCTTCAGGAAGACCTCCAGCTCCTTGGGGCCAAATGAATTCATACTACCTTAATAGGAATTGCAGTAGTCTGGGGGTACATGACCCAAATTTTAGGGCCTTTAGGGTTCATTGGGTCCCCAAGGCTCGGAGTCGTTGGTCACCACGCGCATGGCCGCCCCGCTGAGCACGTAGGAGGGCCGCACCAGCACCGGAAAGCCGGCCGCCCGGCAGAAGCTGCGTGCCTCCTCCAACGTCTCGAACTGGGACCACCTTTATTTTTCACCCCAAAAAAACACCTTATCATGAGGGTGCCCTTTTTAAGGGTTGGTTGCTTTGTAAAGGAACCTTGAACCCCAAAAAAAGGTAGTGCCAAGCCACTGCGGCTGGTCGATGCGCAGCTGGTCACAGAGCTGGCTGAACTTCTTGCGGTCCTCGCACGCGTCGATGGCCTCCACGGAGGTGCCCAGGACGCGCACGCCGCAGCGGTGCAGGCCAAGGGCCAAGTTGTTGGGCGTCTGCCCACCCACGGACACCACCTCAAGGAATTGGAAGACACATTTGGAATCGCACGCGCTTGCTGATAAAACAAAAAAACTACAGGCACAATGCCTTTCGGGCTGGCCAACCGTATACCGGGGGTGAACACAAGCTGCGAAACATGCGCTGACATGCGCTGAACATGTCTGGCCCAGGCACCACACCGCGGGGTGTCTCCAGCTCTGCGATGTCCATGACGCGCTCGTGGCTGAGCTCCTCGAAGTAGAGCCGATCGGACTCGTCGAAGTCCGTCGAGACCGTCTCCGGATTGCAGTTCACGACCACGGCCCGGTGCCCCAACTTCCGCAGCGTGCGCACGCAGGAGACGCTGCACCAGTCGAACTCCACGCTGCTGCCGATCCTGTAGGGCCCACAGCCAAGCACCACCACCCTGGACTCCTCCGCCTTCGCGGTAGGCGTGTGGGCGTGCGTGGCGTGCAGCGTCATAGGCTCCGGGATGGATGGCTGAAGGGGTTGCAGTGGCAGGTGGGGCGGCAAGTCGTCCAGGCCTGCGAACGTCTGGCTGCCCGGCAGCTCCACGTCGTGCTCCTCCCCGCTGTAGGTCAGATACAGGTAGTTCGTCTCTGCAGGGAACTCTGCCGCCAGTGTGTCGATCTGCTTGACCTTGGGGACGATGCCTGCGGTCCTCCGCAGGTACCGGACGTGCGCCTCCGTGACAGCGCCGCCGGTATAGCGACTGGCCCCGAAGTCTGCTGGCAGCAGCTTGGGGGACATCTCCATGTGCACCAGGGCTGGGGCGCAAATCAATGCTGCGATCTGCCGGTCCGAGAAGCCCCGGCACTTGGCCTGAGCCACCCGTCGCTATGCCACAAACTCCCGAAAACAACGCGAGCTGTGCTTTATCGGGTCACTCTCTCTCTCTCTCTCTCTCTCCTGCTTCTTCTTCTTCTTCTTCTTCTTCTGCTTCTTCTTGTTCTTCTTCATACATGCGACTGAGCCGATTATGCTCTCGCTATCCCCCTGCCACCGTTTCAGTGCAAGCACCGCTTCGCCGCCCACCAAGTGACCCCCCCTTTGTCCTATGATACCAACAGCAGAACGAAGCCACGGAAAACGCCGGCCTCCCGCAGCAGAGCCGGCTGGTTCTTGAGGTCGTAGTAGTCCATGCGCCGCATCGCCACCTTGAGCTGGTGGAGGCCATGGAGCTTGGCGAGGAACCAGCGGTCAATGCTGGTGAGGCGGTGGACGTCGGATACGTCCATCCCCAGCTCGAAGGCTTTGGCCATGGCCCAAAGCCGCACAGGGGTAGGGTTGCTGAGCTCCTTCTGCACTTCCCTCTCCAGCTCGGGCCCCCAGGTGCTGACACCCCGCCGGTCCAGCTCGATCTCAAAGCGTGCCGGATCGAAGCCCGGGCTCGCCTCGTCGACCATGCGAAGGGCCTTCTGGATGGTCTCCTCAAACCAGCATATGGGCTTTTATACCCCCCAAAAGCCCCTTAAAAAGGCCCTGTATAGGGTTGATTATGGGGACTCCTTAGGGCCTAAAATCGCCCATCCTCAAAGGTCCGGCCGATGGCCATGACCTCCCCGACGCTCTGCATGGCCGAGCCGATGCGGGCATCCACGGTGGAGAACTTCTGGAGGTCCCAGCGGGGCACCTTGGCCACCACGTAGTCCAGGGACGGCTCGAAGCAGGCGGTGGTGCAGCGCGTCACGCTGTTCCGAAGCTGAATCAGGGAGGCGTGCCAGTGCTTGCAACTTATGAGGGTGTTCGGATTTGGGTGTGATGGCCTGGGGCTTGAAGATCTGCGTCATTAGTTTTCCGGCGGAAAGTATCATTAGTTTTCCGGCGGAAGTAAGGGGCAGGGTAGCCATGGGGTTGGGTCTCCGGCATCCACACCTCATAGTCAAGATTTTCACACCACGTCTCAGAACCAAAATCGCCCCATTCAGCATTCACATGATTTCACCTTCGGGCCTGTGCCAGGTCGTGGCCCAGCGCCAGCTTGGCAGCCACGTAGGCCAAGGGATAGCCCGTGGCCTTGGAAGCCAAAGCGCTGCTGCGCGAGAGCCGGGCGTTGACCTCGATGATCCTGAACCTTTGGGGACCAAAGGAACCCTAAAAGGGTTACGGTTAGGGTTTAGGGTTTGGGATTTAGGGTTTAGGGTTGAGGGTTTCATATTATACCTTAATATGACTTACAGTATTTAGGGTCTATATGGCTCTAATTTTGGGGTTCGTTTGGTGTCCAGGGAACTGGGAGCTCTTGGGGTCCACGGCGTACTGGATGTTGCACTCGCCCACGATGCCCAGGTGCCGGATGATCTTCAGGGCACACTGCCGGAGCCGGTAGTACTCCTCGTTGTTCAGCGTCTGCGAGGGTGCGATGACGATGGACTCGCCGGTGTGGATGCCCATGGGGTCCAAGTTTTCCATGTTGCACACGGTGATGCAGTTGTCGTTCTTGTCCCGCACCACCTCGTACTCCAGCTCCTTCCAGCCCTTCAGGGACTTGTCGATGATGACCTGCGGGCTGTTCACCAGCGCCACGGTCACCAGCTTCCGGAGCTCGTTCTCATTGTCGGCGAAGCCGCTGCCCAGGCCCCCAAGGGCAAAGGCCGCCCTTACCAGCACCGGGTAGCCAATCTGCTCCGCGGCGCGGATGGCCTCCAGCACAGAGTCGCAGCAGCAGCTCTCGGCGATCTGCTCACCGCAGGCATCCACGACCTGGCTGAAGAGGTCCCGATCCTCGGTCTTGATGATGGCCTCGATGGGGGTGCCCAGCACCTGCACGTTGAAGCGCTCGAAGACCCTCTGCTCGTGGAGCCGTACCGCGCAGTTCAGGGCCGTCTGGCCGCCGAAGGACACGAAGATGCCGTCCGGCCGCTCCCGGTCGATGACCTTGGTCACGAACTCGGGGGTCACGGGCAGGAAGTAGACACGATCCGCCATGCCCGCCGATGTCTGCACGGTGGCGATGTTGGGGTTCATCAGCACGGACATGATACCTTGGTACCCCAGTATAACCATATTACAATAAGGGCACCCCTTTGTTGGTTGGCTCATTTATAAGGGAAAGCCCTAAACCCTAAACCCTAAACCCTAAACCCTAAACCCCAAAAAAAGGGGAAAGGGTACCACTGGGCTGCCATGATGCCGGCCTCCTTGAGAGCCTTCAGGGCCTGGCTGCCCGAGTAGTCGAACTCCCCTGCCTGGCCAATCGTCAGACCGCCGGAGCCCAGCACCAGCACCTTCCAGGGTTTAGGGTTTAGGGTTTAGGGTTTGGGGTTTAGGGTTAAGGGTTTAGGGTTAAGGGTTTAGGGTTTAGGGTTTAGGGTTTAGGGTTTAGGGGCTTCAGCACTAGCACCTTCTGGCTGGTTCTTAGGAAGGAATGGGGGAATGAGGTACCTGTATAATTACTCCCTTAACTTATATATATATGATATATATATATATATACATATATATGTACTTAAGGCCCTAATTCCCTCATTCCCTACTAAGGACCAGGGGGGGGCCTTGCGGTAGCTCAGCGGAATGGAGTAGGGGATGGTCGTCACAGCAGTGGCCCCCGGGTCCGCGATGAACTGCAGGAACTGCTTGAAGAGGAAGTCCGTGTCCATGGGCCCGCCACAGGCCTCGGCAACCACGGCCCGGCACTTTTTTCAAAACTTGCCCTTTCAGCTCCTAGATAGGCAGTGCTCTCATGTGCTGACAGGAAAGGTGCGGATGGGATCGGACGGGGTTACTATACTCCCCTTAGAACCCTCATAACAATAGTATGTTTAATCTCCTCTTGGGTTGCATATAAACAAAAATAATTAAGATAGTTAAAAAAACTCCCAGGGGGATATAGGTTATACTTCGTCTCTGTGCTTGCGCTTGTTTCTGGCCTCGGGGTGGAACTGGACGGAGAACCAGGGCCGCGAGCTGTGGACGATGCCTTCGTTGGTGCCATCGTTGGCATTCACCATCAAGGGCACCCAGCCTGCGGGCAGGGACTGGGCGTCCACCGCGAAGCCGTGGTTCTGCGCGGTGATGTAGCAGCGCTGCGTGCGGAGGTCCACAACGGGCTGGTTCCTACTTCATGGTCGGGACCATATGAAAGATTTAAACTTTATACTCCTTATTGGGTTTAAGTACCCTAAAAAAATATATTATATATTCCTTATTGGGTTTAAGTACCCTAAAAAATATATTATATATTCCTTATTGGGTTTAAGTACCCTAAAAAATGCAAAACGGCACCCAACTATGACAAAGGTTCATGCCGCGGTTGCCGAACTTCATCTTGAAGGTGCGCGCCCCAGCCGCCAGGGCCAGGATCTGGTTCCCCAGGCAGATGCCGAAGATCTTGGACGGATGAGAAAACCGTAGCATGGATCCGCCCACCCCCCCCCCCCCATAAAAGAAAAAAAAAAAAAATATATATATATATATATATATACATACATACATATATAATCTCATATCACTCCAATGATCTTGCAACTCTAAATTCAAGCTTCTTGCAAAATCATTTACATATACAGCCGGGGAGTGTACATATATATATATATATGTATAGATATATTCGTGCATGAAATTCGCACCACTTGAGCCTCCATGTGCAGCAAAGGCGCCGGCGTGTTGGGCCGCTGTTGCATCACCTGCCTCACGTGCCGGATGGTCTGCGTGCACTTGCTGGGATCGCCGGGTCCATTGCTGAGGAAGAGGCCATCAAAGTCCTCCTGGGTAAAGTCGTGATCCCAAGGCACCACTGTGAGCCGAACGCCGAGCTTTGCCAGGCAGCGGATGATGTTGTTCTTCATACCGCAGTCCACGGCCATGATGTGCACATCCTTGCGCTCGCCAGGATCGCCGAGTGCGAAGGTCTGCTTCTCAGGCCGCGAGACCTCCGCCACCAGGTTTCGCACGTTGGGGTCCTCGAAGGGGATGGTGCTGAGGTGGCTGCCTCGGCTGCCTTGCACCAGTAGCCTGCCCAACATGGCGCCCTCCTGGCGGATGATCTTCGTGATCATGCGCGTGTCCACGCCATAGATGCCGGGGACACCCTGGCTGTTCAGCCAGTCCCCGAGCGTGCGCACACAGGAATAGTGGGAAGGCTCGTAGGAGTAGTCCGAGATGACGACGGCCTTCACCCTAAACCCTAAACCCTAAACCCTAAACCCTAAACTCTAAACCCGGCCCTAACCCTAAACGGGCCTTCACATGGATGCGGTCACTTTCGAACCACCGGGACAAGCCCAGGTCATCCGGCTCGTCGGAAGGGATCCCGTAGTTTCCAACGAGGGGATAGGTGAAGACCAGGATCTGGCCCGCGTAGGACCTTAGGGGCTGAATACCCTAGCCCAAAAAAAGGTTAACCATTTGATTTGTAATAGGATTATATATATATATAGATATGTATATATATATACTGCGTGATCTATATATATACATATATAATATTGTATATAACCAACACAGGTCAAAGGTCAACTACCCTGCCCCTAAGGGACGGGTCCGTGAGGGACTCCGGGTAGGCCACCATGCCCGTGTTGAAGACCACCTCTCCGGAATGCCCTAAACCCTAAACCCTAAACCCCAAACCCTAAACCCTAAATCCTAAACGCTAAACCCTAAACCCCAAACCCTACGTAAGCCCGTGTTGAAGACCACCTCGCCGGAGACGGAGACCGGGGCTCCGAAGGAGAAGCCTCGCTTAGAGACATGCCCTAAACCCTAAACCCTAAACCCTAAACCCTAAACCCTAAACCCTAAACCCTAAACCCTAAACCCTAAACCCTAAGCCTGAAACCCTAAACCCTAGACCCTACAGGGAGACGAGGCCAAGGGGCCGGTCAAAACCGTCCCCGCACTCAGCTCCAAAGTCGCCTGGCGCCGGGCTTCCAGCCACTTCTGGAGGTCGCCGGCCTTCGCAAGTGCTGCCCTAAACCCTAAACCCTAAACCCTAAACCCTAAACCCTAAACCCTAAACCCTAAACCCTAAACCCTAAACCAGGGGACCTCGCAGGGCTTCGCATCCATAGGCTCCAGCACCTCAAAGTCCTGAGCGTCCCAAGCGGTGGTCGCCATGCCTGGCACAAGCGACACATCAAGAAACCTAGGGTTTAGGGTTTAGGGTTTAGGGTTTAGGGTTTAGGGTTTAGGGTTTAGGGTTTAGGGTTTAGGGTTTAGGGACCTAGACCCTAGTAGAATCGTTGAAGTGCACTCTTTTTGGTTCAAAGGGGCTGATAAAGAGATCCTACAAACCTGAAAGACAGGGAATCAGGGCCTATTCTGGGTCCTAGAAACTCGGACAGACCCGGCCGGGCCTTTGCACGAGGTGTCGCGGGTAGCAGCAAGCTCCACTGCTGCACAAAATGGGTTGAGCACAAACGGCTGCAAGAAAGCGTTTGGATCCACATTCTCCGTCCAGACTGCCCAAGATCGAAGCTTGCGCTCAAGAAGCCAGGTGTGGGGTTCGGGGTTTAGGGGTTTAGGGTTTAGGGTTCGAGGTTTAGGGTTCGAGGTTATAGGGAGGGTTTAGGCCAGCGCCTTTCCGCCCTTCGTTCCTCGATGAAGCTCTCGACAGATGCAACGAGCGAATCGAGGTCGCCTGGCGCAGCTGCACCCTTGCTGTGGCACTGAATAAATTCTAGACCCAAGAGTAACCTAGGAATAAAAGGGTGCCATTTTTGGTTTAAAGGGGATTATGAGGGAAACTCTGGGCCCTAGACTTACGGGTTCTCAGTACGGAGTTAGGGAAAGAGTTATGTCGGGTACCTAACTCCGGGAATTAAGGATCCGGCATAACCCTGCAAACCCAAATTGCTACTCTTCTAATGGGGAATTTTGAATTTTGGGAGTCCCTACTTCTCCGCTTTAGAAGAATACCAGTCCTGCGGCAAGTCCAGACCCTCCCCCTTCCCCCCCCCCCCATCTAAACTCAGCACGGATCAACCCCGGTGATTACAAGCTACAGCTCCCAAAGATGCACGTAGAAGCAGAAAGCCATCCTAAACCCTAAGCCCTAAGCCCTAAACCCTGTGGATGCTTTCTTCAATTCAAGAAAGAGAGAGCTTTCCCATGCTCGGAGGGACTGCGGTCGTCGGGAGGCAAGCGAAGCGCCCAGCAGTCGAAGAACGGCCTTCTCACCCATGAGAGGAGGTTTCTGGATATGTATGGCGTTTAATGAGGGTTTATAAGGTGTTACAGGCCTTGTTTAGGGTTTAACAGGGGTTTATAGGGCTTGATAGGGCTTTATGGGGTTCAATAGGGTTTAATGGGGTCTTATCGGGTTCATAGGGTGTCGGACAGTTTCCGGCATCTGGGGGTCCTTCGCTTCGTCTGCTAAGAGACTACGACTAAGGGTTGTCCACATCCGCTGAATCTGTTTCTTACACAACAATCATGGGTTCCACTACTACCCCTCTATACTACCCCCTCCAGGTTCCCCCCTTAAGTAACCTTAATTAGGTTTAATTATCCCTAAATGAAACAACTGCTTCGGCTGCAATGGCTCCATGGTGCCAGGTATGTCGACTACGCTCACACACACACACCAAAGACCTAATCTTGAATCCATTCCAAACACCAAATGCCCCTAAAACTCCAACGTCACAGCCTTGCCCTAAACCCTAAACCCTTTTTTGCAAACTGGGCTTGCGAACTAACCCTAAACCCTAAACCCTAAGAAGCCCTAAACCCTAAACCCCATCCAGCAGGGCTGCGCCAGCCGGCGGAACTGGTCCGACGCCTCCCGGCTCGCGCCGTCGATGCCTGCGGCTGAAACAATCTGGGATTGGGAGGGGAAGGTGGGTGTTGGGGGTTAGGGTTTGGGGTTTAGGGTTTGGGGTCCGGGGTTCGAGTTTCGGGGTTTGGGGTTTGGGCGGGGAGGGAGGGAGGGAGGGGGCGGGGCCGAATTCTTATGGGTTATGCAAGCTATACAGGGCCGCGCGCATAGCTGAATGAGAATTAGGGATTAAGATTTGGGGTTTGGGGTTTCACTACAGGGCTTAGAGGGGGGGGGGGGGGGAGGCAAAAAATGTTACATTCTTATGGGTTCTGCAAGCTATACTGGGCTACATCAAATGGGCCCATAGAACTCCAAAACAAGCTTCATATCCCTGCCCAACTGCAGCGCAAGGGTGTAGGGCGTGGCGTGGCTTCGACTCGATTTCAGGCGTATGGCGTCGGGTTGACGGTTCATAGGGCAGACTGGTAGGCAGACACTGTGCCATGATGTCGAAAAGTCATCTCTCTGCACATCTCTACACGCGTGCCTGGCAGAAATACCAGCAGCGGTTTCGAAGTCGTCTCATCCGTCCCCCGACTTTGTCCTTCAAGCGTGGGGGGAGGGGCTGGGGGGGGGGGGGGGGGGGGAGGGAGGGGTTGGGGGGGGGGGGGGGGGGGGCAGTATCGTTTCACCTCGTGGGAGGGTTTCCGACGCGATAGATCCTGAAGATCCGACATAGCACTGGAGGACCTGCACTGGAAGTCAGACAAACGGTCTCTCCTGGATTGAATACACTGCTACCCTAATGCCAACCCTAAACCCTAAACCCTTGAACCCTAAACCCTTTTGTTGTCTTAACTCCAAGAGCCCCGAAAGGCTTTTGTAGCCGAGAGCTGCTCCTGGCAAGAGACCGGCGCCTGGGCGAAGGAGGTTAGGCCGGTCAAAGGTCTCCATTTGGAGCACAAAACTCTATTCTTTCATTGGACTTAGGGTTTTGGGGTTTGGGGGGGTTAGCGTGTTTTTGGGATCACAGGGTGCAAAGGATCGTTTAGGTTGTGAAGTACGGTTGCATGTCGCCCGATAAAGGCCCGATCTGTGCCAAACCCGAACAATATGGGGGTTTCCGAAATTTGGGGTACCTTGCTAGGGTCCTGCATACAAGGGAATCCTACTATTTACGGTCTATTGTAGGGGTCCCCTATTTTCGTAAACCCCCTTATTGCGCTCAAAGGTGCGGTGGAAGCTCACCGCGTTGCGTGCCGTCTTGCGCCGGGCGGTCGGGCTAGCTACGCCGACAAAGCCTCCGCGTCCAAGGGCGCAGGCTTCAAAGGAATTGGGGTTCATCTCACATGACTCGAATCCCCTAAACCCTAAACCCTGAACCCTCAACCCCGAAACCCTAAGCCTTCGTTTGTCAGAGTGCAGAAGTTGAGACGGGCAGGGGAAATATGGTCTAGCATGTTGAATGTCCTTTGCGCCTAGCCCATAACCTCCAGGCCTGAAACCAATATTCACAACCCCTTAGCTTACGCTGGCAGCCCCGTGTGCCCCGCCGTTGGCCTTGTAGAAAGCTCCGAAAACACCGATCACCCTGACGAAAAACCCTCTGAAAAACCCTCTTCAAACCCTCTCTTTAAGAAAAAAACTCTGGTAACCAGCTTCATACCCCTCTGAAACCCTCTTGAAAACCAACTGAGCTAAAGAGGCTTCTGCTAGGTCTCGAGACTTTCTTTTGAATGAACCTGAGGTAATGCAAAGCACAAGTGAAACAAGCTCTCGCTGGCTACGGGGAATTTTTCTTTCTTTCTTTCTTGATTTCTCTCTCTCTCCCTCTCTCTCTCTCTCTGTCTCCCTCTCTCTCTCTCTCTTTTTCTCTCTCTCCCTCTCTGTCTCCCGCTCTCTCTCTCTCTCTCTCCTCTCTCTCTCTCTCTCTCTCTCCCTCTCTCTCTCTCTGTCTCTCTCTCTCCCTCTCTCTCTCTCTCTCTCAGCTTCATACCCGTCTTAAACCCTCTTAAAACCCTCTTGCTCAAAACCCTCTTGAACCCTCTTAAGACCTCTTACGCAAAAATGAAGAAAAACCAAGTAAAAAAAATAGTAGCAATCATAATAACAATAATAATAATAAACGATAAACAAGAAAATTAAGTGACCAAAAACGTTTTCAAGCCCCCTGAAGCTTCGCCTCCGAGGGTGGGCCCGCAGACCCGCCAGCCCAGGCCCAGCGCGCACAGCAGCCACGCCAGATGTCGCGCAGGGTTCCGAGGTCGAAGCATTGTGGGCCCCACTAATTAAGCCAATAAAAGCGGCTTCTGGTGCAGGGTTTCGGGTTTAGGGTTTAGGGTCTGGGGTTTAGGGTTTAGAGTTTGGGGTTTTGTGTTCAGGGGTGTAGGGTTTAGGGCTTCGGGTTTTAGGGGGCATAAAGGGGTCTTGTGTCTGGCGGGGGTCTTAGGAATGAGGGTTGTTTTAGGGCTGTTAGAAGGAGGACTTTTTCGGGCTTTCAAACGTTGAGGAATGTCATCACTTCCCTGCTCAAAGCCGGAGATCCAGCAAGAAAGGGGTTAGGGTTTAGGGTTTAGGGTTTAGGGTTTAGGGTTTAGGGTTTGGGGTTTAGGGTTTAGGGTTCTGCAAGACTACAGGCGTTCGTGGAAGATTGAACCCGCGAAGAGCCTGTGTCAACGTCCCAGCTTGCCACTTTGCATTTAGAACTCGCTACTAACCGCTGCGCTGGGCGAGCTTCTTCGCAAGAAGGCATGCCGGAAGATCTGCCAGGATGCATGTTGTCTGAGAGTACTGTGCTGCCATGTGCCGTGTGCTTGCACATCAACAACAAGGCGGATGGGGGAGAGGGGGGAATTCCTATGGGCCCTACAAAGAGCATGCACTGCCGTGGCATTGTGCGCAGATTGAAGCAAGCAATTAACCATCAAAGTCCACTTTACAGCGCAAACTTCTGCTGTGACAACTCTGTGCTCACACAGGGAAAGACAGAATCGTGCTTAGGTATGCAGGTGCAACGAGCGCACGCTACAACATGCCTCAAGGTACGAGCGCTACAGGGCCCATTCAACTCTTAAACTTGCGGACTAAATGGACCCTCTACGAAAACGGTGTGTGTCCTATGCGCCTTGAGAGCAGGGAACGTAGTGACATGGAGTCCCCATTTTGGGGATCATAGGGTCTCCGAAGCACAGCCTGCCGATAAGGTCGGCAGGCAACCGAGCTTCCGGGCCGGATCTGATGGCGCTGACCTTGGGGGCACACGGGGACGAGGGCCTCTCCGTCAGGGCTCAGATGAAGAAGCGTGGGGGGGTTGGGGGGGGGGGGGCTTCTTAAGCACCTCTGGATGATGGAACACTGC